ATTAAATATCTGATACATGGATTTCACATCAACTAAAGAGATTTCCTTGATTGACACAAGAATCTCACTGCTACATAATGGAACCTACTATCTGATAAAGTTAGTCTTACAACTGCAAGATGAGATGAAATCTATATGACACATAGATCATGCAGATGCATGAATGAGCATTAAATACTTCCCACAATTTGGTATAACTATGCTGAATGATTGCAGTGATTGTTTCTTGCTAGTTACAGTTTTCACCATGCAATCCTATCACTGTTTGACATTCACAATTCACCCATGAAGAAGGAAGGTCTATCTCTGAAAGAATTCTGGTCACCACATTTCTTAAATTGCAGAATACATTTATCTTGATCCACCATTTTTGGTTGATTTCACCAGACTTTAAGAGCCAGACATGTAGATGAAGTATTTTTAAAACAGATGATAAACAGCCTGTATTGCACTGTTTTGCTCTATATTACACAACATATTAATTGTTGACTCTTACAATGCAAGGCAACAAATGGTAAGTTGATTTCACCAGACTTTAAGAGCCAGACATGTAGATGAAGTATTTTTAAAACAGATGATAAACAGCCTGTATTGCACTGTTTTGCTCTATATTACACAACATATTAATTGTTGACTCTTACAATGCAAGGCAACAAATGGTAAACAGAACATTTAATGACATGCAGCTTTTGAGTACATTCACTCTAGTAATGCCCACTGAGCATTTTCATAATTTTATTTTTAAATATTTAGAAATTCAGCAATATAACACAAAATAAAAAAAGTAACAACACAAGGTTAAAATTTAACACAATGCTAAATTTGCAAGTATATAAAATTCTAAATAATTTCAAAACTTTACCAAATGACAACGTAACCAGTCTTAATATGACAAATCCCTTAACACTTCACATTAAACTCTTCTCTCTCTCATTCTAGTTCTGTATTTATACACCAATACATAGGGTAATGCAGTTCGGTTAAAGTACACATTGTAAGATAACTTCAAAGAAGTCATCAGAACTTTACAATTTGTGAATATCAAGTATCCCAACATCTTGTCAACAAATTCTAAATGACCTTCTGCTTCACCATCTAAAGCCAGTTTTAGTTCAATATAAACCAAGTAACAATACTGTGTATATGTTTAATTTCTCTTACTCATCACAACTTAAGAATGGCAGTGTTAATCCATGAAGTTATAACATTTCATGTTGGAAAATCAAAATGTTACATAGATTTTTCAACTTTTACTTACCATCTTAGCCTGGTAGGAATACAATATTTTGAGAGTATACAAGAAAAGCACAGAAAATCCATCTCTAAAGCTGAGCATAAGATGTGAAGTTGTACATAGAGCACCTTAACTGTTAGCCATGCACAACCAGCACAGATTGTCCATTCACAAAGATGAATGTTGTGTGATGCAAGCTAAAAAAACAGGCCCGCTTAAACAGAAAAATGCATAGAATTTTTCTCTTGTTACTGTAGGTAACAAAGTACATACGTCTGCATAAAATATCACTTGCTTTGTTAAATACAAAAAATACCAAGCTATTTCAATAAAAAGTTGCAATCATGAGGTAGGGTACATGGTGTGGTACCTCTTAATGATGTCCAGCCATGCAATACAAACACAAAATGCTTAGATGTTTAAGGCATGCAAAAGGTACCCACATGTACGATGTAACAATAAGTTGTCCCCATATATACAGAAGTACACTATATACAGCTGTGTTTAGTAAGCATAGAATATTCAGCTGTAAAAGGTAAACCACAAAAGGATTTCATGTTGCAAATGTTAAATAAGAATGGATTTTAAATTGCTGAGTTGAGTAAGTGAGGTATAAAATGCCAAGATGTACAAGATATATTAAGGATAGTCAATTGTGCCTAATCAGAATGAGCAGGTTTCCAGCAAATGGAATTCCTGCTGTAGAACGTGAGTATAATGAATCCAACTGAAATGTA